GTTTTCATATGATTTTTTTCCATGATGGCCCCCAGCGGCCATCTTGACATTCTCATCTGTCAATTTTACGCTAAAATATGGTATCCACGCATCAATTTCATTACTTCAAGTTTTAATTTTTTTAAATGATCCGTTCAAAAAATCAAAGGGGAACACAACAAAAAGCACTTTGAAGTTGAGTCATTAATTTTCAGATAATGATTGTAGAAGGAAGATAAACCAAAATATGAGTGTAAAAATAAAAAATAAATAAAAAAAAATGTTAAATTGTTTTATAAAGTATCCTCCCGACAAGTATTTCAGTGCGGACCTGTATTTGATCGTGTGGTCTTGGAGCACCGGCATGTCCTCCCCTGTGAGGTCTTAAGTCACTTGATTCACGAGCCCTTTGTACTACATTCAGCATTTTCGTAAACATGTGCCATTTTTTATTTCGTTTGAGCCACGCAACAAACACCACTATTCACTCACGCGTTATCGACTGACACATTGATAAATACAACTGAATAAAATTGTACGTTGTAGTAAAAACATCGTTTCAAATTCTTTCGCTTTTTTGTTTCCGATGCGATGAACGGATAAGGCGGATTATATCCGTTGTTGCCAAACACGAGCACATAATATTATTATTGAGACAGGACGGTACTCAAACTTCTAAAGGGCTATAACTTTGTTACTTTAATTTTACCAGGAAAAAACATTTCTTTTGATCAGATCTACTCACTGTTAAAATAAATGATTCAACTTCGAAGTCACCCTGTATATACATACATATAAAATATAAGCGAATGGACTCATTTTAATATATTCAACCTTGCAGGGCTTGTATATTTCAAGCCAGAGATGTAACGAATACAACGCCGTTGCCTGCCAAACACTTTTTGGATATGTGGAGAGTGCCCCAAGACCAATATTGCATAGGTCATTTTGGGGTAGAAATAATATTCTATCAGATACCCTATCTTTTTTAGATTACGGCACGGGTATTATGTAAAAAATCTATAAAACGTCAAAAAAAAAACAATAAAATGTCATCTTGCAGACTAGGTAGTTTTTAGGGTGTTTGCTCGCTATGTTCACTGTGAGCGTCCATCTATAGAGGAATGACTCAACTACACGCATTGTTGGTTGCATATGTTCTGTGAAGTCGAGTAGTCTGTAGTTTTCGTCTCTGAGAAAAAAGTTGGTTGAATAGCAAGACCGCATCTGAATGATTGTGTGAATTGGTCTTCATGTGTATAAAATCAGTGATATTTGCTGTGTGAGAAAATTATTACTAAATATGCTGCCAACGAAGTATATCTATTAGCTGTGCCAGATGGGTTATTTATATGTTCTGCTTTCTGAAGACAGGTTATGTTCAAACTTATAATTTACGATTTTTAAAAATTACAAATTTACTGACTGAGTAGATTCCAATTCATGATTGCGCACGCTAAGGATCACTCAGTTTTATTATTATTTAGCAACAACTTATTGGCAGCAATCCAATCACTAGGATCAGAGCTGCACATGGAGCTGTGCTCGACAAGTGTGTTTACATAGTTATTAGAACTTATACCAATTTACTAACCTATAAAGCTGTGTCAACAGCATATAGAAGCAATGACAGACTATTAGGACGATCATTCATTTACAATAAATACAGCTGCGGTCCGAGTACGGAACCCTGAGGAACACCGCGGAAAATTTTGATCCTATAAGGATGTATGTGATAAAAAGATAGTTTCTACACCTTGGGAAAAAACATTATTATACATTATGATGAGGAAGAGAGATGGAAATATACAAAAGTATGTAGGTGCGTGAAAGACACTCGATTGTAGGATCCTATCTCGCAGCGTCGGAGTGTGACGGACAACGGGGTAAAGTAGAAGAGTGATAAAAGAGAGATGGCAGAACGGGCGCTGGCGCCTGCTGCTTAGACGGATGCGCTCAACAAATGCGATTTGTTTCTCACATTCGCAGAGTTGCCGATACCAATATGTCATATTTCTAAGAAATCTAAGTCTACCCAAATTTCGGGAAAAATAGCTGCGGATTCCACATAAGAGTATTCCAAAAATGAAAAAAGTTCAAACTATTAAAATTGTATTAATGTTTCATGGTTCAAATCATATTTTTATGTTGTCTTGTTGCCAGTAGAGATACAACAGTATTGAGAGAAATCATGGACCGCTAGATAGGGCTACAACTACCATATGACTATCAAATAGTAGTGATAAACAGGGTTTGTTTATAGCACAGTTGCCTGGTGTGGCGAATTTGCGCCATAGGGGCGATTTGACAACTTTGAAGGACAACTATAACGGGTAGTATGGTGCCCGGTATTCGGGAATCTGGCAATACCTGATGATTCCTAACGTTTATTACGCCAGATTGTTTGCTGACTTGCGCAGTACATGACAATCAACGTGACTGAGCACCTGGTAACCCTGGTTTAAGGTGTTATATTTAAGGAGCTTGGGGCAGTTAGGTATCTAGGTCACATTTTTTAATGTATTTCGAGAAATCCGTAATGTTGAGTAAATACTAGATCACGTTTCTTGCTTAGTTTGCTGAAAATTCTACAATAGACGTACATTTTGAGAAACAGAGATTTGGTGACGACAAAATCGTAAAATAATTTCTTTGTTGAAAAGACTGTGGCTTGATGACCCATTGAACGAGTATAGTGTCCCGCTCCGCTTTGAATATTCGGAACACTATACTCTAGCAGCATTCAGCTTCAATGTTATCTTTATGAAGTTCTAACGTCTAGGCCATGCTGATTAAAAGCTTGAATGAATCAACACTTAACTCTAAATTCCCCACAATTCGGGAAGCTCTACTCAAATTGGCAACACAGCGTATCTGCCTATTATTCTCATTCGTGATACAGGTCTGCGGTCTGCTGCAAATTTCAGTATGCGTTGAGTCGATAGAAGAAGTACAGTAGATGCGCGCATTACGCACCAGTTCGATTGGACGCCCTGTGAACCGATTTCGGTGATTTCGAGATTTCACGAAATCACCTAAATCACTCTACTTATTTTTATGAATGGATAATTGGTTTTGTAGCAATAAAGGTTGCGTCTCATAACAAAAATAAGAAGATACCCACTCTAACAAAAAATAGTACACTCTTAAAAATGTGTAACGAAAATAAAAAGATATTCTAACAAAAAAATAAGTTCTCAAAAATAAAACGCAATAATGAACACAAATGTTTCAAATGGTCCTTCACAGCTGGGGCTCAAAAACGTCTCCTTCATTCAATGAACAGTATGTCAGGCGGTTATAAAACTCGTGACGAACTCTCAAGAGGGTAGAAGGCTGTATTTGCCCGAGCGCTTCAACGATTTTCACCTGTAGGTTATGCAAATTGTCTGCTCTCTCATAGAAAGTGTAAACAGTACTTTTCACATAACCCCACAAGAAAAAATCATTGGGCGCTGGATCGGGTGATCTAGGAGGCCATTTTGTTGTTCCGTTACCGCCAATAATCCGGTGGCCGAACACACTTTCATGTGTGTACGATCGCCGCATTATGCGCCGGACATCCATCTTGTTGGAACCAAATATGTATTAGCGAGATCAATGCCAAGCTGCCTAATTGCAGGAACAATCTGCGTCTGTAGTAACGCCAAATATTTTGCAGCCGTAACAGTTCCATCAATAAAGAACGGTCCGATAATGTTATTACCTAGAATTCCTGCCCACACATTCAGTTTCTGTGGATACTGCGTGCGGACGGGAATACTGAGGTGTTTAGTTTAACGAGACCAATACCGAACGACTGAAGGATTGTGATGACCGTGGAGAGGGAATGTGGATTCATCAGTAAACAAAATGTAACCAATAAAACTTCCATCCCTGTTCTCCTTCTCCATGACTGTTTCACAAAACTCCATTCGACGGTATTTGTCTAAAGGAAATATTTCTTGAACCGTTCCAACCTTGAAGCTATGATAGCCGTTGCGATGCAAAATATTTCTTGTTGTTCTGGGTGTGAGATCGGCTATTGGTACCATTTCAGCAATTTTTCTGCTTGAGCATGGCTCTGATACTTCTGCAGCGGCACAAACAGCAGTTTCGATCTCCTCCCTTTTCTCGCTAATTTTTGGTTTCCAACCTTCATGGTGCATGCAGCTATGGCACTTATGTAAGCAGCCCACCCTCTTGAATTTTTCGTAGGTATTTATAACCATTGCGTAGACGGAATTGGCCGATCTGGGAAGCGTACCGCAAATAATTCAACAACCGCGCGTGCTGAATTATTCTGGATGCACCATTCTATCATTTGAAACTTTTCTTCTTGCGAGTACATTTTTAAGATATTTTGGATTAAATAAAGACGCACCTTTCCTACACAAAACCCAACCGCAGAGTGAGTCATGAATCCCTTATCGCGCTTGACAACGGCACGCGCGTTAACGGTAGGAAATATGTACGAATAGCGATGAAAGTAGACGAGCCGATGCGCTGTTGCCAAGAAATGATTTCCCATGTATAACAATGGTTTTTCCTAAGGTGTATATTAAAATACAATGATGGACACAATCAAAAGCTTAGATAAATCGAAAAGATGAGGCTTCTTAAAGGACCTATTGGTATAACTGCCACAGCATCTACAAATATAGAATATAGCAAAACAGAGGATTTTTTAAGTATCCATTATTGGAAATGGGTGCTTTTTCCTTATCCCTAGATTTAACAGCCTAAGGGTGGGGAGTACCAAGCAAGAAAATCCCCAAATCTCCGCCCCGCAGTGACGAATGCAAGGAGAGTATCCCCCTCCCCGGAAATAATGTGTTTTTCAATTTCTAGACGACCCTCCGGAGCGGGTCATGTTCCTGAACTCCTCCACACTAGAAGCTTTTGAGTTGGTTGTTTCAAATCCATCATATGGACCCCCCTTCCAAATACTAGATCCCCCTTGGCCGCCCCTGACTTGTGTACGCTGCGGGGTGAAGGAGGATGGAAAAAAATTAAAAAGCATCTTCATTTTTCAATATGTTTATTATTTTATACTTTTAAATTCTATGATACAGATGAAAATACCTTGACAATCTTTGTGCACCATGGAACATTCATTTTTCGTCTTCTTAAAACATTCTTTATTTACATATATCTTTCAACAAATATCTCCCTACTGTACTGTGCATACTCAAAATCCTTCTATACACGTATAATCTTTAATTATGTACATATATAAAATCTTAAAACAATTAAAAATTACATTTTGTACTAAAATAAAAAATTTGCTTACAAATAAAAATAAATATACTCCTCGTCATTTTTTTTGAACACATAATCCTATGATATGATCTAATACATCTGGACATTTTTAACAAGCGTTTTTAATTATTATAGACTATATCATAAGTTTTTAACATTTCAGCTAGATTTTCTATAGTTATACATTGAATAGATGTCTTTTCTCTTTATGTAGCGTACCAAAAACACTCTAGATACTTGGTCTCTTTATCAAATATGAGCACATCACTTTATATAATCCACCAGAAGTGATATCTCTTTTGCCTATTCACAAAAAATAAAGAGCTAAATCATGTTTCAGTAATTCGATAACCAAAAAATACAATTTTAGGGGAAAATTCATACATGATAAATTATCCGAAAATTGAGGTCTCACTGACGGATGCAAGAAAATACTGATTACGTTCTATCTTCTGCGGAAACTCCACTGGAGATAATAATAAGATGCAAATGAAATTCTTAGATGCTTAAATGTGTCGTTTTCATGTGTCATTTCAAATTTCCCAAAAACCGTCTTTTTACTTCAATTTTTCTATGAGCAAACATGATTCCATGCTTTTTCAATGTTCCTAGTACAACTTTCGCTATTCTTACCTCAAAAATGATACGAAGACATTAACTACCGATTTAGAAATTATTTTCGAGGTACACAGTTGATCCGTGGTTAACACCCTGTCACAATGTCTAAAAACCTTCTTAAGAGCTAGAACAGAAAAATCCACTGAGTAAGCTTGGATGGTTTATACCTGATCTTTGAACTCGTAGTTTTTTATCCTGACATATCGTTGGAGTTATTATTTCCCATTCATCTTATTTTCAAACACTATTTTATTTTTTAGTTGTATGCGAAACTACGAATTTGTCAAGTAAGTTTTAGGATATTTCAATATTGTTCATACGAAACCTCTTGACGTACTGACAAGTCTCAGCAAGACGAAACAGCGATGAAATTGCAAACCTTTGTTAATATTTACAGCGTGTCTTTAGGCGATAATATCTATTAAATCATTATAAGTAATCATAAGACAGACAATTCATCTAGCACCATTTCAAATTTGACTAAATGTACCTTTAACATTGTTTACATGTACATGTATATGTTTGGTCTTTTATATCCATTTACACAAAACTTCTAATGCATTTTTTATCCGCGCCACCTATGCCGAAATAACGCAACTGCCGTGTTGCTGTCGTTTTGCCTGAATTACTGTAACCGCATTCCTCGAGCATGGTTTTTGGGTTGCATACTCGTAGGAAGGGGTTGTACCATATACTTAATTTTGATATATTGCTTTTGATGATTTTAAGAGGATTGATCTAGAAACAAGGTCGACAAAGACCTTCAGCCTCATTGGAAGGTGCGAGGTGAAACCTGGAAACACCACTGCGCGCTACTGTCCCCATTCTGGATCTCCCGGCCGCGCTTTGCTGTTACGAAGTGGGAAATATGTTCAATGAAAATAAAATGAAAGAAATTACAGTCATTGAATTCACAAAATTACGAGAAACACTTTTACAACACAATATACCTGAAATTATGGATAAATATATTAGTGAAGCTACGTATGGTCAAGAAAATAATATATGAAAGAGAGAACACAACACCCTGGTTTTCACAGATATTCAAGGAGTCTAAATTGAAACGCGGTAGATAATAGGTTACCTTGCATGCCCCCCTCCACTTCCACTTTGGCCACGCCCACCGCGTGCTCTGATTGGTGGATTGGACGGCGGGAAATTTGAACGGGGTTGATACGAAATTTGCAGATAAAATCCTTGTCAGGTGCGCACTTTCTAACAGAAGTTTGACGTCAAATAAATCCATGAAGTTCTTCGTTGAATTCTTCACAAATCAGAACTTTTTTATTTATTTATTTGTACATAATTGCCCAACAGACTAATCCAGTTACAATGCAATATAATGGTAATGCTGCATACAGGAACCACATCCTATTGTTATTTGTATTGTATTTCATTTTATCTATATTTTAATCTGTATACACCGACTTATCCAATGTCTACAATGTAGATCTAACTGGATCAATAAATGTGAATCTGAATCATAAAGGAAACATAAAAAATTAGCTATTGTGATAGTTCCTGAAGTTTGTCAAGATCTTATTGACACAAAATTAATGTCAGAAATATCTGCTGTCAAATTCCATAGTGCCAACCTTGTTTTTCTTTCTATTATGTTGAACAACTTTTCAATTTAAGTATAGAATCATGTTAGAGAGAACCAGAACCACAATAGACATACGAGCACATAACAGCTCAAAATGTTTCTAGCAAGCATTTGTTGTGCGGTTGGCAGCACTGAGTATTGACATAAATTTGTTAATTGATGTAAACACCGAGGATGACCTTGAAGAAATCCATGTGAATAAATTCGCTTAGAAACTGTTGATGCAAATCGTGTATATGATTGGAGTGGGGATCCCCAGTGGGGAAACAGCGGCGCGCAGCGGTGTTGCCGGATTTCGACTCTCATTTTCAAGTGTGGCTGGAGCTATCTGGGAACCCTTTTTTAGACCAACAACTCCTAGCTTGAACTACAGTTTAGCAAATGACATAGCAGCTACGAATGCAAGCTGTATGTGCAATAGTATTTGGTTCTTACGAGTCTCCACAGCTGCACTTTCTGAATCAAAATCAATCTTTGTAAGCAATCCAAAGGGTGGCACTGATACTAAAGTAGGCAATGCGCATAGTTCGTGCAAGCTACGGATTATTATTATTTGTAAAGTCAAACTCAAGTTCCTGAAGGAAGTTTGATACCGAAAACTTCATCTTTGACTGTTCTATTCAGACAGCAGTTTGCTTACTGCTGTGTTCCAACGCCGCTAAAACGTCATGTTTCATTCTGACGTATAATCGGCCTTTCTTCCACGGATTTTGAAGATGCAGTGGCTTGAAATCGTCCCTGAGGCACCTTTCTCTGGCGCCGATCACAGCTACCAAACAGAAGTTCTTCAATTTTTCTGTGTTGTAGATTGGCCCCTCCTTGCCTTTCAGCACCTGAGAAAAAACGAAAGAAAAAGGTTTGTAGAAATACTGATCGTATGAGAATTGAAGGGCAATAAAATGCTTTCTCAAAAGTAGATCAAATGTACTGTCGCTTTTTTATATTACAGTAGATGTTCGAACAATCAATCATAATTAATGACCTCAAAAGAAAAATATAATAAAATATATTATTAACGACTTTATTAGAAATTTCCTCATAAAATATCGTTGGACCCTCGTAGAATTGGCAACCAGCGCGCCACCTTGTTATTTTGCACGTACTAGCCGTATAGGGATATTTGGTTCTATCAAGATAATGTTTACTTTCCTATCAAGATATCTTCTGTTAAAATTTGATTTACTATCAAAATACCTTTTTTTGAAATGCGATTTACTATCAAGATACCTTCTTTTGATTGCGTACCGACGCGTCCAGCGCCATTTTACTTTTGCTTTTCCGCTGTGATTTTGGTTGTATGCGGGCGTTTTTTTCGTTAACTTCCAGTTTTTGGATTATTAACGCCCCAAACACCAGTTTATGAAGTAGTAACCTTGTATTTTGTACCTTAAGTTTAGTTGTTTTGGTTTGGGTGCTACCCCGTCCATTTTCTAATGGGATTTCAACCTCCAGCGGTAAGTTCTCTTCAGGACAAGCATTAATGGACATCGTCCGATGGTATACAAAAGAGAACTTACTGCTGGAGGTTAAAATCCCATTAGAAAATGGACGGGGTAGCACCCAAACCAAAACAACTAAACGCAAGGTACAAAATATTTGGTTCTATCAAGATAATGTTTACTTTCCTATCAAGATATCTTCTGTTAAAATTTGATTTACTATCAAAATACCTTTTTTTGAAATGCGATTTACTATCAAGATACCTTCTTTTGATTGCGTACCGACGCGTCCAGCGCCATTTTACTTTTGCTTTTCCGCTGTGATTTTGGTTGTGTGCGGGCGTTTTTTTCGTTAACTTCCAGTTTTTGGATTATTAACGCCCCAAACACCAGTTTATGAAGTAGTACCCTTGTATTTTGTACCTTAAGTTTAGTTGTTTTGGTTTGGGTGCTACCCCGTCCATTTTCTAATGGGATATCAACCTCCAGCGGTAAGTTCTTTTTAGGACAAGCATTAATGGACATAGTCCGATGGTATACAAAAGAGAACTTACTGCTGGAGGTTAAAATCCCATTAGAAAATGGACGGGGTAGCACCCAAACCAAAACAACTAAACGTAAGGTACAAAGTACAAGGGTACTACTTCATAAACTGGTGTTTGGGGCGTTAATATCCCAAAATCTGGAAGTTAACAAAAAAAGACGCCCGCACACAACCAAAATCACAGCGGAAAAGCAAAAGTAAAATGGCGCTGGACGCGTTGGTACGCAATCAAAGGACGATATCTTGATAGTTAATCACCTTTCAAAAGAAGGTATCTTGATAGTAAATCAAATTTTAACAGAAGGTATCTTGATAGGAAAGTAAACATTAAAAGAAGGTTAAATGAATAGCCTTGAAGATGGTATCTTGATAGAACCAAATATACCTATGCGGCTAGTACGTGTAAAGTCATAAGGTGGCGCGCTGGTTGCCAACTCTACGAGGGTATAACGATATTTTATGAGGGAATTTCTAAGATAGTAGTTAATAATACTATAACCTTAGTGTCCAAAAGATTTCAACACAATACTGAGTCGCTGAGAAAGGAATATATAATACGTGTACACTATGAAATTCGCCAAAAGAAAATCATTAAAAAAAGGGTTTGGCCTAGGAATGGGCACTCTACTTTTAATAAAGCGAAATTCAAATTACTGATAAGTGAACAAAATAGTATAAAAAAGGTTACGTGATTTTGGCACATGACAGGACGTGTCATGATATTGCATTGTCATTGGTCCAATGCGATTATGGGAAAAATGAAACGTAAGATTCTCCTAACGAATGGGCGATTCTCGCTTTCTATATACAGAGTGATTAAAAAAACTAACAAAGCGATACTTACCACCGCCATGTTCAGCTGTTTGACTACGAGGTCGACCACTTCTCTAGCAGTTGTCCTGGGGGTGACGTGAAGCTTTAGGCTGGTCCCAGCAGCAAGGCCGGTGTCGTATGCTGCAAACACCTGCAGGATGCCACTCTGATGTTCCTTCGAGCTCGATTGAGCTGCTTGATCCGTCTTTGGGACCTTGAACAGGCCTTCCGCGTCTTCGACTGTCCTAAACTGCTGAAATAAGAAATTTCAGAAATATTATGATATAATTAATAATATACAGGGTGTCCCAATACCTCGCGAAGATACAGCTTAAGTTAAATTAGGAAATAGCTGTGTTCATTGGGATGTATTTAAATGCCGTTGAGAAACTTGTAAAAAGTTCATGGCTTACTGAGGTATTTGAGAAAAACTGAAATTTGGCCAAATCGTTTTCATTTGTTCTGACTTTATTTTGATAGATATCAAAAAAAATAGTGCAACTTTTTAATTGGCACTTTTTTAGGCATAAAGGTGTTTTTAATTTTGCACCCGACATTTCGTTTTTGAGAATTTGTATTAAGAATGCTATAGATGCAGGGTGTACTTTTTTAAGTCAATACAAGACAAGTTGATGTTGGTTTCTCAAAAATGAAACATCGGGCACTAAGTTTAAAAACATAATCAAAAAAGAACCAATGGAAAAGTCTCTCTTTGTGTTATTTCTCAAAATAATATCAGAAAAAATATAAATGATTTGGCCAAATTTTAGTTTTTCTCAAATATCTTTATAAGCCATGAAATGTTTACAAGTTTCTCAACGGCATGTAAATACGTCAAAAGAACACTACTTGTTCCTAATTTAACCTAAGGATCGTTATCTTGGACACCCTGTATATGATGTCCAGAAACATACAGGATGAAAAAACAATTACAATACTTCTGAAGCAAAGTAGATTCCAAAGTATATACACCTTAGGAAAAACCATTGTTATACATGGGAAATCATTTCTTGGCAACAGCGCATCGGCTCGTCTACTTTCATCGCTATTCGTTATTTCCTACCGTTAACGCGGGTGCCGTTGTCAAGTGCGATAAGGGATTCATGACTCACTCTGCGGTTGGGTTTTGTGTAGGAAAGGTGCGTCTTTATTTAATCCAAAATATCTTAAAAATGTACTCGCAGAAGAAAAGTTTCAAATGATAGAATGGTACATCCAGAATAATTCAGCACGCGCGGTTGTTGAATTATTTGCGGTACGCTTCCCAGATCGGCCAATTCCGTCTCACGCAACGGTTATAAATACCTACGAAAAATTCAAGAGGGTGGGCTGCTTACATAAGTGCCATAGCTGCATGCACCCTGAAGGTTGGAAACCAAAAATTAGCGAGAAAAGGGAGGAGATCGAAACTGCTGTTTGTGCCGCTGCAGAAGTATCTGAGCCATGCTCAAGCAGAAAAATTGCTGAAATGGTACCAATAGCCGATCTCACACCCAGAACAACAAGAAATATTTTGCATCGCAACGGCTATCATAGCTTCAAGGTTGGAACGGTTCAAGAAATATTTCCTTTAGACAAATACCGTCGAATGGAGTTTTGTGAAACGGTCATGGAGAAGGCGAACAGGGATGGAAGTTTTATTAGTAACATTTTGTTTACTGATGAATCCACATTCCCTCTCCACGGTCATCACAATCCTTCAGTCGTTCGGTATTGGTCTCGGGAAAATAAACACCTCAGTATTCCCGTCCGCACGCAGTATCCACAGAAACCGAATGTGTGGGCAGGAATTCTAGGTAATAACATTATCGGACCGTTCTTTATTGATGGAACTCTTACGGCTGCAAAATATTTGGCGTTACTACAGACGCAGATTGTTCCTGCAATTAGGCAGCTTGGCATTGATCTCGCTAATATTTGGTTCCAACAAGATGGATGCCCGGCGCATAATGCGGCGATCGTACACACTTACCTTGAAAGTGTGTTCGGCCACCGGATTATTGGCGGTAACGGAACAATAAAATGGCCTCCTAGATCACCCGATCTAGCGCCCAATGATTTTTTCTTGTGGGGTTATGTGAAAAGTACTGTTTACACTTTCAATGAGAGAGCAGACAATTGGCATAACCTACAGGTGAAAATCGTTGAAGCGCTCGGGCAAATACAGCCTGCTACCCTCTTGAGAGTTCGTCACGAGTTTTATAACCGCCTGACATACTGTTCATTGAATGAAGGAGACGTTTTTGAGCCCCAGCTGTGAAGGACCATTTGAAACATTTGTGTTCATTATTGCGTTTTATTTTCTTGTTAGAATATCTTTTTATTTTCGTTACACATTTTTAAGAGTGTACTATTTTTTGTTAGAGTGGGTATCTTCTTATTTTTGTTATGAGACGCAACCTTTATTGCTACAAAACCAATTATCCATTCATAAAAATAAGTAGAGTGATTTAGGTGATTTCGTGAAATCTCGAAATCACCGAAATCGGTTCACAGGACGTCCAATCGAACTGGTGCGTAATGCGCGCATCTACTGTACTTCTTCTATCGACTCAACGCATACTGAAATTTGCAGCAGACCGCAGATCTGTATCACGAATGAGAATAATAGGCAGATACGCTGTGTTGCCAATTTGAGTAGAGCTTCCCGAATTGTGGGGAATTTAGAGTTAAGTGTTGATTCATTCAAGCTTTTAATCAGCATGGCCTAGACGTTAGAACTTCATAAAGATAACATTGAAGCTGAATGCTGCTGGAGTATAGTGTTTCGAATATTCAAAGCGGAGCGGGACACTATCCTCGTTCAATGGGTCATCAAGCCACAGTCTTTTCAACAAAGAAATTATTTTACGAAAATGCGTTATATGTTTACGATTTTGTCGCCACCAAATCTCTGTTTCTCAAAATGTACGTCTATTGTACAATGTTCAGCAAACTAAGCAAGAAACGTGATCTAGTATTTACTCAACATTACGGATTTCTCGAAATACATTAAAAAATGTGACCTAGATACCTAACTGCCCCAAGCTCTTTAAATATAATACCTTAAACCAGGGTTACCAGGTGCTCAGTCACGTTGATTGTCATGTTGTACTGCGCAAGTCAGCAAACAATCTGGCGTAATAAACGTTAGGAATCATCAGGTATTGCCAGATTCCCGAATACCGGGCACCATAGTACCCGTTATAGTTGTCCTTCAAAGTTGTCAAATCGCCCCTATGGCGCAAATTCGCCACACCAGGCAACTGTGCTATAAACAAACCCTGTTTATCACTACTATTTGATAGTCATATGGTAGTTGTAGCCCTATCTAGCGATCCATGATTTCTTTCAATACTGTTGTATCTCTACTGGCAACAAGAATAGGGATTACAAAATCATTTATACAACAATATACAAACATGAAAAATATGATTTGAACCATGAAACATTAATACAATTTTAATAGTTTGAACTTTTTTCATTTTTGGAATACTCTTATGTGGAATCCGCAGCTATTTGTCCCGAAATTTGGGTAGATTTAGATTTCTTAGAAATATGACATATTGGTATCGGCAACTCTGCGAATGGGAGAAACAAATCGCATTTGTTGAGCGCATCCATCTAAGCAGCAGGCGCCAGCGCCCGTTCTGCCATCTCTCTTTTATCACTCTTCTACTTTACCCCGTTGTCCGTCACACTCCGACGCTGCCAGATGGGATCCTACAATCGAGTGTCTTTCACGCACCTACATACTTTTGTATATTTCCATCTCTCTTCCTCATGATAATGTATAATAATGTTTTTTCCCAAGGTGTATGTTTGAGCATATGGTTGGTTACAGCGCCATCTACAAGGTACCTTTTGAAGTACAAAACACTTAAAAAATAATAACTTCTTACCTGTTCGGTAGGTCTGAGATAGGTAGCCCCTCCTTCACTCTCCACGGCATACGACCTCAAGTTATTCAAACTCTTGGACATCGTGCTTTCTAGATTCGAATGCGAGGCTAAATTCGATCCCACGTTTAAATTGGTAGGTCTGAGTCGGTCCGATTTCGTGCACACTTCGGCCGCGTTCTGTTTGACATTGGTCATGCTTCTGGAAGGCGTCATCTTGGACTTCTGCTTCACCCTTAGAGGTGTGGAAGAGCTGATTGGTGGAAGGTTGCCGTCGCTGTCTGAACTCAGGCTGTGAAGGCTGTCGGTGTTCAGCGTGTTGACGCTCACCATGCTGCCACCGTACGGTGCCGTTCTTATACCTGCGTAGATAAAAAATGACGTCAAGTATGTTGACTCTGCAGTTACCACGCGATGATGTCATGAAGGATTACGTTCAGTATAAGATAGACTCTGAGCTAGCTACAAACATAAATGACTAAAAAAATTAATTGGCTCAAGTCGGCCAAACAGGTCCATACAATTAGTCCATAGAGGAAAGGAACGAAATTTGAGACAAGCGCCTAATTTGAGACAGTGGTGTAACTTTGTAGCACCATCTTCTAGTAATACCAAAAGTAAGACGCAGTAGTATCCTACATGTGTTTACCGTTTTGCATATGGTTTGCTGTGACATCACAACTTATTGCTTCTCGAGAGTTAAAAATATTTTTAATAGTTCGAGAAAAGTGATGACTAAAGTTAAGGTAAGTTATCTAGAACAATTGTCTGATATAAATTTAGTAGTTTACAAATACCTTATGTATTTTCTTTTACAGTATTGTGATTTTATTACGTATATAACGTAAATATGCCTGTGTAAACTTTTTAACGGAAAATTCCTAATTTCCAAGTTTTCCTAATTTGAGACTATCTCAAATTAGGGCCCCGTACGAGTATCAAGATTCAGATGCCTGAAAACACAAGAGTAAGGAGATGGATTATTTAAAAGCCTCAAAAGGATTCGGATAGATACCTTCCCCCTTCAGTTCAAGTTCAGAATGCAGCGGAAGCCTTAAGTTGGATGATTCATCTTCAGACGCAACATGAAAGCGATGCTGAATGTTTATTTAGTACGGGTCGATTTTCCGAAGATAAGAAAGGTGAAAATGGGCAAAATACAGCCATTGTAGTAAATGGGCACATAAAGATTGAGAAGAGATTACCAATAAAATTTTCATTTGCACTTTCTGCTAAGGAAGGGATTTTTTGAATAGTATCTCAAATTAGGGAACCAGCTGTAAACTCACAAAAATATTTACTTTTATTAAAATACACTTTTTGTCTGTAAAAAAATACATTTGATATTATTTTTTTATTTAAGAGTATGCTAGGAGCATCAAATCGCAAGTTCATTTAAAAATAGACGCTCGTTTAAAACAACAAGTACTTTATTTTTCGTTTTCAAAAAAGTATCTCAAATTCGGTTCCTATCCTCTACACAGTTCCCACCTATATGATAACGCTGACGTTAGTTTCTTCCTACTGCTCTGAGTATCGGCAACGGTGCTGAACCAAACCAGGCAACCATGCTATAAGCGCCAGCCACGATATTATAATAACTCGAGATCGAGAACGCCGACGATGCAGTCATGCGCACACATACTCTGGTGCATGAAGGCCAGCGTCCTGATAGACGGTCGGAAAATTTGTATGTTTTAAGGGCAAATATACTGGGGAATATGTACTAAAAGTTGCGTAAAGTAACCAGGGTTGGAAGCCACTGGACCGATTATCTAAGGGCCGTATTGTCAGTCATTTTTTACAACTGTAGGACGTCTTTATGGCCTCCTTGATTTTCATGGTTTTCTACTGTTCCCTGTCAGCGCTCTATTTTGAGGTTATGTTACAAATATCTATTTGCCTGAAATATGTTCAAGCGTTTGATTTACAATATCCGATATATCAGCCTGAAATTTTGTACAGTTCAAAAAGAGAACACAGCCTCACAATAGGAGAGCGCTGACGCTGACACAGAACAGTACACATGTAGAAATACCCCAGCCAGTCTGAAGGAAAAAAATACTATGAAAATCAAGGAGGCCATAAAGGCGTCCTACAATTGTAGTAACGATTAACGATACGGCCCTAAAACTACAAAGCTTTTTCGTCCTTGGCATAGCTGATATCTCAATGGGTACGATTAATTTCAGTTGACTATCAAAGTGGGGTTTGAAAAGGGACTTTTTATATTTATTATTGCGCTTGCCGCCCTTTTCGGATCCCGCCGCCCCCCTATGCTGTGACATACTGTGGTATAACAATGAAAATGAAATTTATGCAACGAGATCATCCAAAGAAATTTCAAATTAAGTCAACCCCACTTACCCATAAGAGGACTGGTGGTAGCCGAAGCGCTAGCCACAGTCACCCCCCTACTTCGTTGCTTGGACCCTCCACTGACGGGAATCCCAAAGATGACGTCTTCACTCCTGGACGGCGGCAAATTCTGACTGAAGTAATCGCTATTGTAACTGTCGCTGTTCTTCCTTGAGTCTGAGGTACTCCTGGCTGTCAGGTACTGAGTGGTTTCGTTGGTGCTCAAATGCTGCTCGCTCTTGCTGAATTCGTTGATGAGGGTCGCGTGTGGCTGGTTATGAGAGTTGGTGCCTCCAGGTCCAGGCCAGGAGCCCCTGCCTGGGGTGCTCTTCATAGGTCGCGGCTCTCGAGGGGGTAATTGCAGCAGGCTGCGTTTTGGGGAGGTGCATGTACCCACTTCTTTCTCCAGGATGTATCTGTAAACAATAAAATACAGCATTAATGTTTTAATCATACCCGCCCATTTAAATAATGACTATCATAACGTTTACACCCTGTATTTCTTCCCACATAAATTAATAATAAAAAAACTGGCGCCCAAAATCATTAAAAATTACCCATCGCCCTTTAATTCAAAATAGTCCGTTTAATATTAACTGATCTTCGAGCGTGGAGGTACTACCGGCGAATGTCTAAGGTGGGGCCAGAATGTGTGCATGCCATAAGCACGTGTTTCCTCGTTCAGAGTAATTTCACCTCTTTCCCCTGGAACCCATTATAGCCCCACTGTACTCACGGGTTTTAAAGCCTTACGCCTGCGTGGCGGCTCAAGAATAAAGAACATGCTCCCGATGATCCGAGCTCCGAAACGCAAAGACGAATTGCTTGTGACAAAGTTCAGCAATCCATCGACTTCGGATGCATATGTAGACGAATTTGTTGTTTTTGCTTATTTTGATTTTATACCATTTGGACTGGACTATAAGTGCAAAGAGCATTGGATTCAAAGCACTGCAGAGAGCAATGTCGCAGTCGCTTTTTATTTTCGTTGAAAATAAAGAGAAGTACAAGGAACGACTCATCGAATCTGAATATTTTATTAGATACTTTTTGCGATACGACGTATCTCTTTAAAGGAGTGTATCAAACAGAATTCTATATTGATCAGGAGATTTCGCAGTATATTACAGCAACCGCTGGTATTAAAATAGTACATTACATACCTTGGAGGAGAAATATGCCATTAATGGCCGAACAATTTTATAACATGCGAGATTATTGTGAAACGAGGAAGATGGAGATATGAAAGCGTTACTGCAGAAAAAACTATATGCACTTCGATGTGCTCTTTCCGAATTTTCTTTTTGTGACACCGTTTCTCTGCTACTTGCATCACTATATTTAAAAACGAGGTTCTAGGATTGAAATTATGAAATCGCTGAAACAACGGAGATATTGTTTTTGCGACGTTAAATACAAAATAAAAATTCGGAAAAAATATGTCAAATCAACTTTTCGAAACCTCCCCGAAGTTTTCCAGGTGATTTACACATTTACTACAGATCTCCAACTGGAAACAGTTTTATTGATTTTTTGGAAAACATCTGCGAGAACAACTTTTATCGAAACTGCAACACGGTACATTTCGATGATTTTAATATAAATTTTGATAACCCAGACTTCTACGCGAAGAAATTTAAACATGTACTCAGTTTTTATGGTCTATGATCACACAATAATTAAAAATCAATCAAGAATAATTATAGATTTGATAATAACAAATGAAGAAAATTTAATGTAAAAGTTTTGCATACTCACAAAATCAGTGATCATTCGTGGATATGTTTTGAGGTTGAAAGTATATTTGATGCTAACAAAGTGGAAGAAATTACTAATATTAACTATGTAAAATTGCGAGAAGCTCTTTTACTACAAGATATGATTGCACTGGACAGTGTTGAAGTTTGCGTGAAAGAAGCAAAGAAAAAATTCAATACCTTGATTCTCACAGACATTTAAGAATTTTATCCAAATTTCAAACTGGATTTAGGAAGAAATACACACCTGAAGCGGCAATACAAATGGTTTTAGAGGACTGGAAGGGATGTACGGACAAAAGAAAACATACAGTGACAGTATTCGTGGACGTCAAAAGGGCGTTATTATCCATTATTCATTTCAAAAAATATTTCTGTTGGTGTACCACAAGGTTATAAACTGGGTCCACTACTATTTATTTTATGCGTTAATGAAATTTGTGATATTAGATTATCGCAAAATCCTGAATACTTATTACCACAATTATTTTACAAGAGGAAAAATAGATTTAAAAAATGATATAAAGTCTACGTGTAATTTAAAGATGTTTAAACGAAAATTAAAGAAACATTCCATGGACAGTGAAAATTCTTAGAGATGCAAGTGCTGTTTTTCTGAATATTTGTATGTTATGTTATTATTGTGGCACAAAAAAAAGTAAAACTACCAAAAGACTGCGTTATAAGGGAATCAGATTTTACTGCTCACCTTATAGTGATTCCAGTTGTGTTTCTATCTCTAGCGAAAGTGATGACATCCATAAGCCATCTGATCCCTTTCCAAACAGAATTCAGCTTCGTCTGCAAATCCTGGAGCTTCTGCAATCTTTCTTTAGCCACCGCTACTTCACTATTGGAGAAGGCCTCTCTATGAAGATGGCTCGCTGTTTGGGCGTCCAACTCCAAAAGACAGCTAAGTTTGGAGTATTTCTTCACGATGTTTGGCTGATACGTGCTTAAGTGGATCATTTCGAATACCTGTAATATATGAATTTCATGTAGCTCTGCCACCACTAGCCCGCATGGGTATCACGTATCTTGAAAAGTGACATTATGCCGATCTTTTTGACATTATGTAGGTTTTTCTACAAGATGTTAACTTTGCACTTAGTTGTACGTGTTGCCTAAACGTCATGATGGGGCTTGTTACCAATCTTTGGCTCTGATGTGATGTGAAATCTGCTTCTGAGATGGCCTTATTATATATTACATTGAGTTCTTGACTCAAATACACTTAATTGAGATTCAAAGCTAGCAATTAGTTGCGCATCCCCGTTTTCTTATCCATTCTGGAAATTACATGTACAAATTTGCTGAATTTCAAAAATGAGAGAGATAAGAAATAATTATATTCACTGTACACTGTCGAATGACAAGTCATATAAATGCTAACAGTAATTACACACATCGCGGGCGCGGTGATGATTTCCCGTAATTCTCCTCAGTTTTTCGTAATTTATAACTTTGAACATAACCTCTCTTCAGAAAGCACAACATAAAAATAGTCCGTCGGGCACAACCAATAGATATACTTCATTGGCAGCATATTCAGTAATGCTTTTCTCACACAACAAATATCACTGACTTTATACACATGCAGACCAATACACATAATTATCTTGACGCGATCTTGCTATACAACCAAATTTCTTCCCATATATAAAAACTGCAGACAAGGATCATTTGGCCTCACAAAACATATGCAACCAATAATGCGTGTAGTTTAGTTGAGTGATTCCTCCTTAGATGGAAGTTCACAACGATCCTAGTAAGCAAACGTGGAATGACTGTTTGCGCCCTGAAAACTACCTAGTTTGCAAGATGACATCTTATAGTTTTTTTTGACGTTTAATAGTTTTTTTACATGATACCCGTGCCGATATGTCAGCTTTGACATCGGAAGTACTTGGGTGTTAGTAAACAGTTTTAGAACCTTCCATTTTAGCAGCTTTTTTAAATAAAATCCATTTGGATGTTACCAACCTGTATGGGCAAACTGAGCAAATCTGTCCTTTGTAGCAAAATCTCCCTTTGTCCAGGTACTGAGCAGGACATTTCGGCAGACGGACAAATAACGATAAAGCTGACGTCATCTGTCAAATCGATGATTTCTGTGTCATACAACCGGTGTGTATTCGCGTCTTCCCCAGATACGTCCATATAGTTGAAAAGACGTTTGGCGGCGCTCGTGACGAGCTCGACGAATGTTCGTTGATGCTCGGTGCCGTTGTCCACCACGTCGGGCAGGTGCTGTTGCTTCAGGTACGACCATTCCTCACTGTAAAATAATGAGAAAGATATACGTATTTCTATTTGTTTTGTATTTAGTTATTTATTTGTCATATATGAATTACACACGCAATTGATTGGTGATAAATAATAGAAGGTGTCATTCAAATATATTACAAACAGTGACGCCCCCAAAATACAGCCTTGCGGTACACCATATTTTGTTGATCTATAGTGAAATGATGTAAAGCAAGGAACTTGAAACTTGTAAATTTGAAACATCTCAAAAAAAAAAAACAAGTACTCACGCTGATACGTGCGGATTATCCCTGATTTTGCAATGCGGCAACATATTGGGCGACTTCGAAGACACCACAACCTGGATGAGATCGACAGAGGACTGCATCTTGAGGTAGGCTAAATACAATCCTCTTCCCAGCTTCAAGCTGGACACTTGGTGGTAGTTGATTTGCTCTTGGATGCTGCCCATTAGGATTTCCGATATGTTGTGGTCGTCGCTTAGTACCAGCTTAAAAAAAAAGACATTCGTAGAATAATACAGATTACGTACGTGTCAGAATTTAAACAAGACGATTTATTCAAAGGAAATGATGTTTTAAACTAACCAAACGAATTTTTCTGTCAAAATTGACTTACAATTATGATGACGACACTTTTGTCATGTCATACGTATTATATATGACTTTGTAGCCCGCTTTGAGCAGCTTCAGGAGAAAATAATCCCTACTAAGTGTGTTAAAAATGCGCCGTCATGTCACTGTTTGGAATATCGAGAGCAATATTCTTAATTGTAAATAGTCAGAAATGTCAAAAAATGCCAGGACAACTGTTGTTTTTAAAAAAAGAATTGTTACGGTTTTGTAGTTGTACTCATAATTTGTGTTCATCGAACAGCTGTTTACGACACCTGCAATAAACGTCAGAATGCAACGTATAAGGCTTACCTTCTTGAAAACCTTGTTCATGGGCAACCATCTCGAGTTGAGCACCGATACGCTTTTGGGCGATTTGACGTAATTGATGGTACTCAATACTACGGTACCATGAGCGTCTCTGAGAGGTTTGTAGTATAGTTGACCCAGATCTTGCAGACAAAGGGAAGACTGCATCTGAAGAGCGGCTGACAGTAGCTTTGCGCGAAAATGGATGGCCGAGGAACAGTTCTTTTCCATGTCCGTCCTAGAAAAAAAGGCACCTCAAATTAATTTATCACTGCTTAACAGCACGGATTTCTAACGTCACAAATCAAGACCAGAGTCGGGTTCGCGTTCTACTGTTTTTTGGTGCTGCCTCTCTCTATGTAGTTCCGATGGTTGACGATAGATGACGCTATTAGTTGTTCTTGGCGATAAAAGATGACATTTGCGACAGTGACCAATAGATGGCGCTCATGGCGTCACATTATTACACTTAACAATACGTAAAGACATAATTATGAAATGGCACTACTCTACCGCATGATCATATAAACATGATATTTTTCCAAAATTGTCTTAATTTGAAACAACATTCCGAAGTGTCTATTGAGACAACCTTTACTTGAAAGAGACATGAGCTTTCTTTCTAATCCCACATAAATACGATTCTTTTACCTTCTATCGGGCACGCAAGATTTCCTAGAGAACCGATCGAAGTTAACATAGAATAAATTAATATTATATAGTATTTGGCGCTCTAAAGCGATAAAGTAGCAGAAACACTGCCTCTTGCAAAGATGTCGTGAATTGGCCATGACTTCCTCATTTTTTATATTTCTCAACTATTGTTTGTAGCAAATGAAAATATATTTTAAAAATTACAAATTCTAAAAAACGAAGCTGTGAGAATCATTTTAAATAAAAGCAAATACGCTAAGAGTCTATTTTAGAAGAACTGCAGTGGTTGAATGTAAAAAATATATGTTATTTCGTTCTCGTTTTCAAATTAAAAATGCATTTATCATGACCATATTTAGAAAACTTCACAAAATTAAACAGTCATTATCATAATTATGGAACTAGAGGCGGTACAGATCTTCATCTGCAAAATTGTAATAGTAACATAACTAGCAAAAGGGAGTATTTTAATTTAATAAATTGAATAATAATACTGAACAGTGTTCAAATTTAAAAATGTTAAAGGTGAAATTAATAAATCACTCCATGAATACCCAAAATGCATGGAAATGTAATTTTAATAGACAAGAATGTAAAATTACAGAAAATTGATTAAACAAATGCGTAAAAGAATAATTATACAAAATTGACATTGTAGGATTAATGCTGAATAAATCTTCAACAAGCAAACAAAAAATCTTGTATTTAGGGTTTCTGAAATCGCAGGCTTATGCCAGAAAAGCGCAAATGTGCAATGCTATCAACGTCAACGTAACCTAAAGTATAATTCCAACGATATAGCGGAATCTATTTTTAAGGGCTACCTAAAAATTTGTACCATCCTGAAACCGAGAATCTGCGAAACAGCGGTCGACAATTGAAGGCTTTCATAAGTTCCACAAAATATAACTTACACGAAATTTCAAACTATTAAAGAATTTCGTCAATACCTTACACACAACTTCCATTTCAACACCAACCCATCCATATTGGAAGCCCCTGTATAATTCATATTCAATTCCGCTTCAACGCAAAGCCATCCGCATATCCATATTTATTAACCTACTTGCCCTGGACTATAAACGACTGTCCGAAGACGATTCGGTTCTGTTCGCCCACCCGAGTCCTTCCGAACGCTGTCTTCTGGCACATCTTTTGAGCAACCAATGATCCTAGGAGGCTATGATTTGAACGTTTTCTGCAATGTCAATTCCGAATTCGCCTTGTCGGTCTTGCAATTTTTACAGCTTTTGAGTTTTTTCAAAACAATATTTATGAAAAAAAAATCGTCTCGTTGCGGTACGAAAAAAAAGGGACACGGCGCATTTTCTTCTGGAGTTCCGACATTTCGGTGGTCGCCGATAGAAGATGCTGTTAGATGTTCTTGCTGGCGATAATAGATGTCGCTCGCGATGGTTTTTACTGCCACCAACAGATAGAAATACTGATTATATAAACATGATATTCCCAAAATTGTTTTATCTGAAAACAAAATCTCAAAGTATCTATTGAGTATCCTTTACTTGAAAGAGAGATGAGGTTTCTTTATAATGGCACAAACAAACAAAAAGTCTGGGGTCTAAGCTTGTCCTTGTAGGGCTTTCCGAGAACGTAGGCATATACCAGTAAAGCGCAATTCTGCAATGCTGTCAACGTCAACGTAACCTAAAGTATAATTCCAACCAGATAGCCGGCACGGGTATCATGTAAAAAACCTATAAAACGTCAAAAAAACCTATAAGATGTCAACTTGCAGACTAGGTAGTTTTTAGGGCGCAAACAGTCATTCCACGTTTGCTCACTAGGATCGTTGTGAACGTCCATCTATGGAGGAATCACTCAACTAAACTACGCATTATTGGTTCCATAGTTTTGTCAGGCTGAGTGATCCGTGTCTGAGGTTTTTATGTTCGAGAAGAAAGTTGGTTGAATAGCAAGATCGCATCTGGATGATTATGTGTATTGGTCTGCATGTGTATAAAATCAGTGATATTTGCTGTGTGAGAAAATCATTACGGAATATGCCGATTATGACGGGTTATTTATATGTTGTGCTTTCTGAAGAGGGTATGTTCAAAGTTATAAATTACGAAAAACTGACGAGAATTACGGGAAATCATCACCGCGCCCGCGTTGTGTGAAATTACTGTTAGCATGTATATAGCTTGTAATTCGACAGTGTACAGTGAATATAATTATTTCTTATCTCTCTCATTTTTGCAATTCAGCAAATTTGTATATGTAATTTCCAGAATGGATAAGAAAAAGTGGATGCGCAACTAATTTTCAGCTTTGAATCTCAATTAGGAGTATTTGAGACAAGAACCCAATGTAATTATCATCAACACATACAACTTACAGCTTAGACCTGCAGTAATGCCATCTCAGAAGCAGATTTTTACATCACATCAAAGCCAAAGGTTGATAACAAGCCTCATGACGTTTAGGCAACACGTACAACTAAGTGCTAAGTTAACATCTTGTAGAATAACCTACATAATGTCAAAAAACAGCATAATGTCAAAAAATCGGCATAATGTCACTTTTCAAGATACGTGATACCCGTGCGGATCTATGCATAAGTCATTAAACATTTGTACCATCCTGGAACCGAGTCACTGTGCGAAAGCCGTGGTGGATAGTTGAACGATTTCATAAGTTCCATAATAAATAACTTACATGAAATTTCAAACTGTTGAAGAATTTCGTCAATACCTTATACTCAACTTCCATTTCAACACCGACCCATCCATATTGCAACCTCCTGTATAATTTATATTCAATTCCCCTTCAACGCAAAGCCATCCACATATCGATATTTGGACGGCTTTTTGCAGAGAGGAATCAACCCAGAAAAACAATCATTGAGCAATTAGGCTTTAAAGTTTTGACAATGATAAATTCATTTCAGACTAAACACGGTATCAATTAATAACATACTAAAGGCTTTAAATATGTGTATGGATTGTTTTTAGAGTAAATTGTATTGCTTTTAATAGATTATTTCCCTAAAATCTATATTTTTTATATTTAGTGGGTTGGTTCCTTTCTGCAAAAGGCCGTCCATTTATTTAGCTAATTGCCCTGGGCTATAAGCGAACAGCTGAAGACGATTCGGTTCTGTTCGGCCACCCGAGTCCCTCCGAGCGTTGTCTTCCAGCGCATCTTTCGAGCAACGAATGATCCTAGGTGGCTATGATTTGAATGTTTTGTGCAATGTCAATTGCGAATCCGCGTCGGTCGGTCTTGCAAATTTTTACAGCTCTTAAGCTTTTTCAAAATAAAATTCATGAAATAAAATGTGATTGTAATAATCGGGTAGTGTGAGTGATCGAAATTGATTGAACTAATAACGACTGGTTGCAATTCAAAAAATGGCGGCACAGTGCACAATTTCGTGGCGATCAGGTTGATAGGGCCTGTTGCGTTGCGACAAGATTTGTAGTTATGTCTTAGTATGTGATAGAAATTGTTCTGCGTAAAAATCGGCTCGTTGCGGTTCGAAAAGAGATAATGCACATTTTCCTGATGGTGTGGTTCGTGGTTCATAGTAATAAATATAATGAGTAAGGTACTAGTGTGTGAGTTCAGTGAAAGCCCATATTAGGGATGCAGCCTTTTACCAATAGGAAGATTTCTTTTCGTATTGGAGGTAAGCGGTGAATATTCCATGCTGATATATTGGAAAAAATGTATTTTCCATTTTCAGGTAGAGATTACAAGACAATTCGATTACCGGTAAGTCGTATGGCATGCTGTATGACTTCTTGTTTATTTGCTTGTTTTTTTCGGTAAATTATGTAGGAGATGTACTTCTATGTTGGATTTGATCCTTGATTTCTTGGAAGTAGAGTTCTCGAATATAAATTGTCTATCGCATCAATATCAAGAATGGATAAAAAACCAGTGGCGTAGCTTAACTCGTCAGAAGCATTGATTAACGCGGTACTGTTGCGTTTTGTAGAACTCCTGATTTCACTGTTTTTTTTTCACATGAAACTTATATAGTCTGATAGATTATTTTAAAACAAAAAAAGTGTGGATGAAGGACGTTTTTTATGAGAATTGTTTCCCAAAAAACTGTATCTTTAGCAGCTATTTCCACCATTATTTCAACCACCAACTGCCATTTGACATCTGTGCATACGTCATAAGAGAGGCGCTTGCCTGCGGTGTTGCCGGATTGGGCTCAGCATTTAGAGAAAAATATTAAAAGTAGAACATTTATATATACAGGGTGACTTTGAAGTTGAGTCATTAATTTTCAGATAATGATTGTAGAAGGAAGATAAACCAAAATATGTGTGTAAAAATAAAAAAAAAATAAAAAAAAATGTTTACCTTGTTTAATAAAGTATCCTCCCGACAAGTATTTCAGTGCGGACCTGTATTTGATCGTGAGGTCCCCTCTGAGGTCTTAAGTCACCTGATTCACGGGCCCGTTGTACTACATTAACAAAGGCACGAGGGGTTGGTTGCACTCGATTGGGAAACCGATCCGCATAAACATGTGCCATTTTTTATTTCGTTTGAGCCACGCAACAGATACCACCATTCACTGACACTGACTGTATACAAATGAATGAGATACTTGTAAAAACATCGTTCCAAATTCTTTCACTTTTTTGTTTCCGATGCGATGAACCGATACGGCGGATTATATCCGTTGTCGCCAAACACGACCACATAATATTGTTATTGAGACAGGGCGGTACTCAAACTTCCAAAGGGCTATAACTTTGTTACTTTAATTTTACCAGGAAAATGGTAAAGGAAAAGAACATTTCTTTTGATCAGATCTACTCACTGTTAAAATAAATGACTCAACTTCGAAGTCACCCTGTATATAACAAAATAACGAAAAAGGAACAAAAAACTAAAAAAGTAAATTTAAAAGGGAATCCTAATAATTATGGAAAAAAATGTGCATTATGAAGTAGTAGTAGTCGTATTGGTCGGGAACCGTCAGCATTCAAGTGATTAACAATATAAGAACGAGAATGGGTGGCAAGCCTGTACCTTGATCCTTGATACCCAGCTTTGAAGCAGGAACTGTGAGGTGGTGATTGATCACTTCTCATACATACCTATGTATGTGTTCAAAAATATATTTTAATACTACTTAATAATGCACAAATTTTTTTTCTATAATTATTCCCTTAATCCTTTTTTAATTTACTGCGGTTTTATTTTAGTTTTTTTTGTTTCTTTTTCGTTATTTTGTGTCATTAATATATGTATATGTATACATTTTCCAGTTTTCATATTTTTCTCTAAATGCTGAGCCCAATCCGGCAACACCGCAGGCAAGCGCCTCTTATATGACATATGTACAGACAATACAGACATCATATAAGGCAGATGGCGGTGAAAATAATAGGGGAAATAACTACTAAAGATCCTGTGTTTTGGGAACAAAATTTCATGAAAAGCGTGTTTCATCCTCACTTTTTTGTTTTAAAATAATCTATCAGAATACCCTCTATAAGTTTCAAGTGAAAAAACAGTGAAATCCGAAGTTCTACAGGGCGCAACAGTACCGATTAACGCATTATACCCAAAAAACAATTTGAAAGATCCCAGTGCCATCTATGACACATTAGCCCAACAAAAAAATGGATTTAGAATTCGACTTTGAAAAGGCTTAGGAGTGTTTGGCCTCATAGATTGTGCCTGACCTTCAATCCCTTTTTGGCGTTTCTCCATTGTCACATGAAAACTTCAGGAACCTCACGATAATTTGTGGACTAATAAAGGTATAGAAAAACTAAGCTATTGATAGTTTTCCCCAGCTATCTAACAGTGGCATTGTATTTGACCTTGACCTTCAAGGCCATCTGAAGGTCAATTCTATTTTTTTAAAATTCAATTCAAATATGGTCTTGACCATTCTTAAATTTTGACCTTAGGAGGTCATGGTCAAGGTCAAACCCAGGTATGGTGATATAACTTGCAAACTACCGAGACATTATTTTCATGACTTATCCCCGGACATCCAATGGTGATCTTGGATCTGACCTTCAAGGTCATGTCAATTTCAAGTGGATTTTTGAAGCCAGCGAACAATCCTGGAAGAACAGTTTATTTGGGGATTGCACAATTTTCTAAATCATCAAGAAATTAAGGTAAATTTGTGTTTGACCTTGATAACCATAAGTCCAAGGTCAATTTTCAAAAATGGACAAGGACATATTAGAATCATAAAATTTTTTCAACATCAAATGACATTGGAGGTCATGGCCAAGGTTGGTTCCAAGGTCAGCATTGGATATCCGGGGAAAATCATGAACATAATGCCTAGGTAGTTTCCCTATACGACTACTCGCTTTCAAGTTATATCACAGTACCTGGGTTTGACCTTGACCTCCTGAGGTCAACATTTAAGAATTTGTCAAGACCATACCTGAATGTAAAATTTTTCGCTCTTTTCATTTGAGGGGTCAAAAATGGGGGTTCCATTTAAAATAATCGGCTTGACCTTCAAATGACCTTGAATGTCACGGTAAGGTCGAATCCAAGGTCAGAATTGAATATCTGAGGAAAACTCCTATCAATCGCTGGCTTTAGTTTTTCTTACCATTTATCGTGGAGTTCCAGAACTACGTCTACATATTATATTGCACTCTCTGTCCTTCACTATGCACTTTGCTCCCGGCAAATAGAATGCGCCAGTGCTAGATGCGATGGTCAGGTATCTGTAGCAAATATAGCTTGTCTTGGTAGCAATAAGAATTGTGCGCCGCCGCATGGGTTTTGCTGAGATCGATCACTAAAAAATTCTAGTTTCTTCGAAGGCGACTTTACTGCTTTTGTACTTTGATAAAGTTTCAGCGAGAAGAAATTTTCGTATTTACCTTAATAGTTTGATATCGTCCCACGTGCAAGCGACTTTCATCAGCCAATGGAGATCATTATGTATACAACTGGGGAATGTTTCATCTATTTCTATCACAGGCAAAAAGTCTTCGTTTGTTACTAGAACTTTATCTTCGTGGTACAGAATACACGCCAGGTATATTCCCCTGAAAAAAAAAATAGGTACATACTAATTGTTTATTCGTTGGAGCACTAGTAAAGCATTCCCATATGGAGGAAAATACAACTGACAAAATAAGCGACGTTATGTAAAATGCCAAAATAAAAATGTCAAATCTAAGGCCCATTTGACGAGTATCTATTACGTTTTGACGTCTACTGAGGTGAACAGCTGATTAGCAAGTGACAGCCATCCAGATACTTTTAGTGACTGGAAATTTTGACAATAAAATATACGAAATACACATAGAAAAGTGTTTATTATAAACTTGTTAGAGTACATCTGGGATTTATTGATTACGAAATAAGATTTTGTTTTGTTTTTTTTGTTTAAGATTTATTTAGCATGATTGCTACAATTACATTCTTATAAAAAGCTAAACAATTACATAACATAAAGACATTCCATTTCCATCTCTAAGAATTTTCATTGTCCATGAAATATTCCTTTAATTTTTTTTGAATATTTTTAAATTGCAGGTAGACTTTATATCATTATTTAGTTTATTTAATTCAAGTAATCCTTTCTGAAATATTGATTTGCTAGTTATATTACTATTGCAATTTTGTAAATGAAAATCTATATTTCCTCTTGTATAATAATTGTGGTAATGATTATTCAATTCTATGTAGTGTTCTAAATGTTGTGGCAAAAGATGATTTTTTATTTTAATTGTGAAAATAAGAACCAAATATGATATGAAATTTTGTATATTCAACCACTTCGTTTCTTAAAAACACAGATTTTATTTTGGTATTCTTATTTTTATAGATTTTATTTTGGTGTACTTATTTTTATTCAATATTATTCTCATAGCTTTATTTTGCAAGACTTGTAATTTTGAGAATACAGCTTCATTGGCAGTGAACAAGATAGTTGAACAATATAGTAAATGCGGTAGAATATGCCCTATAAAAGTAATTTGTTTTTTTGGCAATTTTTTAAATAATGTACCTATTCATAGTGATCCTCAAACTTTAGTTTGCTATCAATATATATATATATATATATATATATATATATATATATAGGTGAAAAATTAAAGCTTCCGCTTTTTGTTGGGTACTTCGACAAAATTTAAGCAAAGAGGACTCTTTATACTTTTTTTAATTCTCTCTAGCTTTCAATGGACTTTGCCATCATCATCAGGAGCTGCAATTACAATGATAACAGTAGCAACAAAAGTGTAAAATGAATTTAAATTGAATCAACTTACAGTAGTATGTGAGGATGTTGCTAATTGTTGTTTTCGTATAGGATGAGGGAAACGTCCAGTAACATGGTGAGAGCTGGATACATGGTACAATGGTTAAAATTATATAAAATATGACAAGACAAGTTAATGACAGATTAAAAATTATTTAGAAAACATTAGCCACTTGATGATTGCACAAAATGGTGGTCATGGAATAATGAGTGAGATGAACCAACAAAAAGCGGAAGCTTTAATTTTTCACCTAACTGGTCTAGACGACAATGACCACGTCTCAAGTTATACATATATAACTAAATATTTAATTGATTCAACATTTTCAATTATTTCTCCATTTATCCTAACTGTGATAGTATTTTCATTTAGGTATTTCCATATTAGCATACATTTTGTTTTAGAAGTATTCAATTTCAGTTTATTTACATTTAACCAGTTTACGATTTTTGCAAAATCAGAATTTAGCATTTTTAAAGCAGTGTCTATATTTTCATCTGATATGTATATTAATGTATCATCTGCAAATATCTGAAGTTTACAATAATCTAAAATATTACAAATGCCATTATTGTATAAAATAAATAGTAGTGGACCTAGTTTACTACCTTGTGGTGTACCAACAGAAATATTTTTTGATCTTGATAATGTAGATCCAATTTTGGTTTTTTGACTTCGGTTTTGTCCTTTCCAGTAGCAGTGATTTTACATGTAAAATAATATAGACACGTGTTTCTGGTCGATTGTGCCTCATCAGTATAATTCAAATGTGGCTGTTCCATTGTTGCATTTCCCCTCCACTTTGTCCGAATAGAAGCGTGATACTAGAGCTTCAGTATTCATCTTTTATTGCCAATAAGCTTTGACATGGGAAGACTTTCAGTTTTGTCCTACCTGCGAAGATTTTTCTGGAACTTGCTGGCAGCTGTAAACAGCTGTTTGATCGTTGTCTTTTTTCTTTGGACTCTTCTTTGCTGTCCTTGCCTTTCCAGAATTTCACTACCGGGCCTGAACTGCTTCACCTCGTCCATTAGTTGGTCCAGTTGCTTCAGTTTACCCGAAAACCTGCAATTTTAAACAGAACAATGTGAATTACGTTACGTTGGGATTGAATTCTATACATTTTTTGAAAGTTTTTAAAGAATTGTAACGATTGGCTCAATACATTTTTTAAATCGACTCAGTCCTATTACTTTCCGGACAAACCCTGTATGTGTGGTCCGAAATTTTATAGTTCAGGAGATATTTGCAATTTTGGGAAATTTCGAAAAAAACAGGATAATGAACTTTCAATCGCAGTTACAACTAAACCATTAGATTTTTTCTGAGATAAGCTAAATGGTTAGTTTTAGCAACGGTTATATCACTTTTTAACATAGTTTATTAGAAATCAACGCTAGAAATCTTGAAATCATTTTTTTGTGAAAAATCTCTTCCAACCCTCAACTTTGGAGGGCGGTAAAAAAATTAAGGTTGTATTTCATTATTCAATTTATTGTAAAAACTATTTCGATCCATGTAGAATAAAGCCTGAAAATTTCATCTTTCTACGATGAGTGTATCACGTCACATTCGTTGTTGTGATGCGATAAACATAAGGAATGCAGAATAATCCTTACCACCTACAAGTACAGAACCTATTACGTTTAGCCGCTCTTTATGGCGATTTACCGACAAATCTGGAAGATAATTTAATTTAACTAACGTTTGACGAACATGTTCGAAATGGTCTTAATTATTTTCTATACACAAGCGACACCTTCTAATAAAATTAACAATATTCATGTTATTGTTGGATGTAACTTTCTGGTTTAGGAATATTCGCAACCTACCTAGGATCCCTACTTTCGATTTCCCTCCAAGTGGACGGCACCACTGACGAAGGAGTTGAGGTAAAAAAGGCACCATAACCTTTCAGGTTGCCGCAAGCGGCTCTGAAGAAGTATCTTCTACCCTGTGTTAGTTCCACTGTGCAATTCGGGCAGGACACCTCGACGATCTCCTTTTCGCCCGTTACTATCGAAAAGTCCGCCCGAGTAGACCATTGTACTGGAAAAAAGCAAAACTGAAATTAAAAAATCGCTGGAAGCAGAAACATTTCCTACGTTGCAGCTCGACTAGTGGTCTTTAACCTGACCTCACGTATCAACGTGGATTCCTATGCAGAATCTCGATCTGCACGGGTATTATGTAAAAAAACCTATAAAACGTCAAAAAAACCTATTAAATGTGGGTAGTTTTTAGGATGCAAACACTCATTGCACGTTTGCTCACTAGGATCGCTGAGAGCGTCCATCTATGGAGGAATGACTCCACTACACGTATTGTTGGTTGCATATGTTTTGCGAAGCCGAGTAGTCTGTAGTTTTCATCTCTGAGAAGAAAGTTGGTTGAGTAGCTAGATCGCATATAGATGATTATGTGTATTGGTTTGCATATCTATAAAATCAGTGATATTTGCTGTGCCCGACGGGTAATTTATACGTTGTCTTTTCTGAAGATAAGTTATGTTCAAAGTTATAAATTACGTTTTTTACGTTATTTTTGTGTTTTCAAATACTTTGAGGAGAATTACGGAAAATCACTACCGCGCCCGCGTTGTGTCTAATTACTGTTAGCCTTTATATGACTTGTAATTCGACAGTGTACAGTGGATATAATTATTTCGTATCTCTCTCATTTTTGAAATGAAAAAGTGGATGCGCAATGCGTCCATCAGCTAGTGTTAACATCTTGTAGAAAAACATACATGATGTCACAAAAAAACAATACAATTTCAAAAAAATCGACATAATGCCACTTGTCAAGATACGCAATACCCGTGCTGATCACCAACCTGACCTCTGAGGTCATTCTCTAGGTCATCTTTGACGTGATCGACGGATATCCTGAAACCTTCGTTTTAAAAAATACTTGGTTGATACGTTTTCGGGTGTCCTTGTACTTTTCAGACACAGTAGGCCATGTTGATTGAGCCACCTATGACCTTTTGACCTTGCGTATGGAAGTGCATTTTGATGTAAAATCGGATCCTGACGTAAAATCGTTAGCTCAACATTAATCTGCTGTCAAAACTAATGGTTGCTATTTGAATTTACAAAGTTGACCTCCAAATGACCTCAGAGATCTTGATCTTCCTAAAATTTTGTAGAAACCTTTTTTTGAGAAAAGTGCGTGGTTGCCAATTTTTCGAGGTGTTCAGATATTAGTAGTAATGTTATAGTAGAATAGTATGTGACTTTGCTTACCTTTAAATTTAGTAGTGATGGGCGAATCAGAAGCGGTGGGTTCGTGAAGCCTGACGGTCACCGTTGATGAGGATGTGATGTCCAAGGCTACCAACGACGGAGGATCAGGAGGTCTGGCCTGCGCGAACCCCAAAACTAACCGCTTTAAGGCTTTGGCGCGCCTGCCCCATGCGATCGCTTGTTTTTCTGTATCGCCACCCGCACAACCTGGAAATAAAAAAGTAGCGTCGAGTAAACTAACTCAGTATCTCGGGTTCGAACTCCGCAATCTCAGTTAATCTATATGACAGCTGCCTTCGCGAGTGGCCCAGTAAAGATAAATCGTACGGTATTTTCGATGCAGACAAAAATATATCTCTACGAGGGTTGATTGATAAATCCCAACGCTGTAGCTTTGCCGCGCGTGATTCTAGGCGAAATCTGGCAACACCGCCACCGATCCCAACAAGAAGCGCCTATTGGGAAATTAGTGCGGTCATCCGATTTTTGCACGTAAAAACGTTGCCACCCATAAAAATTCATCGTCAGTTGAGTGAAGTATATGGGAAACGTGTATAAGTATCTAACATATCCTCAAATGGTGAAGAAAGTTCTTTGACGGCCGCATGAATATCCTAAATGTACAATCAAGACGGGCAATAAAAATGGAAACTATGTAGAAAAATAGCTGAAAATTTAACGTTTCCAATGATAAATTCGTTTTTTCAAATGAAAACTTCCTTGTGCCTGAAAAAAATTGCGGGAACTTTATTTTTGAGACAACCCTCGTAATAGTAGAAATGGATTGTTTATAACCATTTTTCTAATATGGTGAAGTTTATTTTCGTCTTTGACGTTTAGTCAAAATAAAAATTTAGGTGAATATCCCATTATTTTCCTTCACTGCCATCTGTTGACGGTTGTAAGAAGCATCACTTTGTCCTCAGCGCCATCTGTTGGCGCTAGCGAGAACAACTAGAAGCGCCGTCTATCGGCAACCACTGGAACTACGGAGTCTAGAATCTCTAGAACAGTGGTCGCCAGACAAATTGAACTTAATTTGCAGCTACAGGGGAGAGACCAAGAACTATACTATAACTATCTAAAACTGTAATGACTCATCGATGTTCACGTGACCATCACTTAACTACCAGTAGTCGGCTGTTCATAGGCGGGGTATGAATGTTTAACATGGGTGAACTAGATTTGTCACATGCTTAATAAAGAGTGGTTTGAAACATATTGTAAGTCAAAAATTTGGGAATTACCTTTATTCATCGTCGCTTCCACTTACATCTGACAGTAATAAACTGTCGCTATCGCTTTCCTCGTTGAAATTGACTATAACTGGCTCTATGATGGTGTCGATGTGGTGGTCAAGCTGCCACATTTTTGTTTCTTCCTTCACAACATGACGTATAGCATTCTGCCAAGCTTCGAGTGTTACTAGCTGTATGGAAGTCTCAAGTAAAACCTTAACGTCTGGTAGTTTGAAGGTTGTGTTATGGCGCGCAATATAACCCTTCACTTGAGCCCAGATGAGCTCTATTGGGTTCAGTTCACAGTGGTAGGGCGGTAACCGCAGCACAGTGACACCACATTGACGGGCCATCTCATCAGTCACGTAACTAATGTTCGCAGGTTTGTGCTGTTTAATTTTTTCATACAATTCCGCTTTCACACATGAATCGTCAAACGGGATTCCTTTTTCGCGCAACCATTGCTGCATGTCCCTTTTTCGAGATCCCATAGTCGGTACACGTTCGGCTCGACGACTATGGTAGGAAGCATTATCCATGACGATCACAGAGTTGGGCTCAACTCGCTGAATCACCCCTTGAAACCAGCTCTCGAAGCAGCTGGCATTCATTTCGTCATGGTAATCACCTCCTTTCTTAGAGACGAAAATCAAGTCACACTCTGCTAAAAAGCCACTATCGCTACCAGTATGAGCTACGATCAATCTTTGACCTTTCCCTGACGGTCCACGGTCAATGCTTGCTTGTCGGTTACTCACTACGTTTTTGTCTATCCAGGTTTTTTTAACTGTGTGACCTGCATTTACCCATGTCTCGTCCAAATAATAGATTTTTCTGCTTTGTCGCCTATATTCAATCATTTAGCGTAGGCATTTTCGACGCCAGGCGACTATCTCAGGTCTCTCTATCAATACTGACTTCCGATTACGCGTTTCGTAACGAAAATTAATTTCGTGCAGGGATTTCCTCATTACCTCGACGCTCATTTGGGGTATAATTTCATTTTCCTTGATCGCTGCATGTACAGCCTTGAGGGTTGGCATCTCATTGCTAAATAAGAATGAATGTACGGTTCGCCTTAACGCCATTTTGCTATCGTCATCCAATTTAACGGCCTTTCGTCCCTTCAAATTAAACTTTGGATCAGTAGTAGCTCCAGTTTTCTTCTTTTCATGCACCACCTTGCGAATGGTCCACTCTGGATCGCCTGTCATACTTTCACAACGCGCGAGTGCATCTCCCTGCGACATAGTTCTGTTCAGATAATTGAACACGTTGAGCACGATTTCTTTCGCGTCCCTCTTCAGTGCTTTACGAAGCCGTCTACCTGTTCCCTGGCTTTCAGTACTTCCACTCCTGCCATTTGTACTCTCCATGGTTAAGTATAACCAAAACAGTAACCACAGAAACCACAACAATAACAATCACACAACAATTCTTATAAAAACACACAATATGCGATCGCTCAACGAAACACGTTCCAATGCTTTGCCGACGCCTATGAATCTGCCGGTCTAGGCGCGTCTTTGATTTCATTGGTTCTACCGGCGGAGAACAATCAGCCATTATTTCCATCTCTGTCTGTGCTGTTGACCACCGCAAAGCCACAGAAACGACATATGTCGTACGCTATACGGCTGTACTGGAAGGAAGCCGGGATCGAGCTCTGATCACGTGTTGATCACGCGTATGAGTCATTACAGTTTTAAATAGTTGTAGTATAGTAAATATCATGTAGAAATAGTCTCTAACTTAAAGGATAACTTCAAAAATCGTTTCAAGGATTTTAACGAAATTGCTATAGTGGCGAAATTTGTTGTTTCACCCTCCATGGAAATTGATATCCAACAGTTTGCAACTTCTGTTACGCAGAATTTTAGCGAAGACATCGCTGCGACAGAAATGGAAATGATTGCATTTCAAAATGATTTAGCTTTAAAATCATTAATCTCAAATACAAAATGTATCTGACCTTCAGTAAGTAACGATAAATATTATTCAGTTTTATGTCGTGTTACATTGAAAGTGAAAGCGTTATTTAGTTCAACCCAGGGGCTGCAGAACTGCCAAAACTTTTGTCTTAACAGAAAAAAGCAGTAGTAATTTGATCATTATTTATTTGCCATGTTATCACACAAATAGAAACAATACCGGCCTTCCCCCGCAAGACACGGCATCGAGTCTGTTTTGCAGCATTATAATCGACCAATTTTAGAAGAATCGCTTTTACCAGTGATGGAAGAATGTTTGACATCCGGCCAAGATTTTGTGTTCCAGCAAGATGGTGCAGCGTGCCATACCCCAAAAAAGGCTATAAAATGGATGGAAGAAAATAATGTACCACTTTTGAAATCTGTTTCTAGCAGTCCAGATCTGTCACCTATTGAAACTTTGTGACACGAGATGAAAAAGGTTCTACGACAACATCCTGCTCGTACAATCACTGAACTGAGACAAAAGGTTCAAGAAATATGGGATTGTTTTACACCAAATGTTTGCCAAAACTTGGGTAACACTATGCCCCAAAGAATTTCAGCCGTAATGAAAAATAAAGGTGATGTTACCCAATGGTAATCTTTCAATTGTTGCGTTGTTAACTTCGCGCATTTATTCGCACATTGTTTATTTGTTCAGATGTTCTATTAGTTATAGGTGTAAATGATTTCAAATATGTATTTTTTACGACTAGTGTGTATCTAAGATGGTTTTGAAAAAATAAATTGTTTTAGAAGTAAATATTTTCGTCATGTTTAGTTTATAAAGGCATATTTTGGTACAAATCAAAGTGGGCCAACTGAAGTGGGAAGGGGCTCGTATGTCGCATACAACTGTGTATAATTTCGTTTAAGTTGGCTTGCAGTGCTTACGACTAGGTAGCTCACTGTTTATTACAAAATTATCAAAGTAGCCTAACAAACTGAAAAGGTTGGCGACCACTGCTCTAGAAGAAACCCCGATTACGGTCGAACTTGCTAGAACAATGTCGAGCAAGCCATACAGGCACAAATGCAGCGATCGAGAAGGAGCCAGTCAGATTTGATCAGTCCACGCTAACGCGAAATGCGACCCGGATATAAATTTTATGATAGATGCTGTCATAAATGTGTACTGTTTTCGTTACAATTTTGTTTCGTGGTCCCGGATTATCACACAGACATTCTTGATCGAAGCCCGTCACTCCAAATGTGCGTAACGCCTAACTTGTGTCGAACGTCTTCCGACGTTGATGAAAGTCCCGCATCCCCGGCTTCCGAAGTTTATTTTCGCACTTTCTCTCCACCAATTTCCTAAAACTGCCTCGCACGGCTGTAGCTTTCACACTCTCCGAACTTGGTTCAACTAAAAAGTTTGTTAAGTTGAGCGAGGAGGTAATCAGAAACAAAGGACTGCCATCTGCCTTGCTCGTTCCAATGGTAGTCCAGGAAATGAGGCTGTAATCGGACTTAGACAATGGCCGATGGAACGCCAGTATCGCATCTCTGTATGAAAGAGATATCCAACTCGCAATCTGGAAAAATTGAGGGAAATCTCCCAACATGGCAACGTTGTCAAAGCATCACTGGTACTCCAGGCAGGGATGTTTTGACAGCACGAACAGCATTGCCGTAATTTCGCCTGGTATATAAACTACATGGGAACGAAAGAGATATCCAACTCGTAATCTGAAAAAAATTAGGGAAAGTAGAACTGACATTGACTTCATTGACAGCACTGACAGTCATAACAAGACCTGTAGTTTATATACCAGGAGAAATTACGGCGATGCTGTTCGTGCTGTCAAAACATCCCCGCCTGGAGTACCAGTGATGCTTTGACAGTGTTGCCACGTTGGGGGATTTCCCTCAGATTTGAGGAATTTTTGCTTGGAGATATGTTGTGGGAAAAATCACAACTTTCGTATCCATCCTCCCGCTTTTTGAACCAAACGTACCCTTTTCCATTAATTAACTGTGATTTTTTGGAAAAGTAGCACTTCTGAGGGATTTTTTGATCTGACAAGGCTGCTTTTTGACATATTCTCTATATTCCTAATAGTCTAAGAACCGACTGCTTGAATCTGCAGGTACCTTTTTTTGGTAAAACTTGATTTTTATAAATGATAAATAATAGTAGAATAAATTACAGCAGAATTGCCTTTGACAACCTTGCTGATAAAGTTTGTTCTACCTGTCATAGATGTGGCAGGGTAGGCGTTTCCTATAATACTCGAGAAAGAGGCTCTAGTGTTCAGTGGCGCTCCACAGGGTTCTTCCAACAGGCCACCGAGCTCTTGAAGTCTCATTTCCGCCTCTCCTAGTAGATTCTTTAGATGAGATCCTAGTTTGTCCGTCGAGGAGACTGAAACAGAATAATAGGGATTATGCAAAAATATCCATAATCAACACTTGACTTTTTATGGGAAAAGGGACAGTTGAACGATACTCAAATCGGATCGTTCATTTCGGCGAATTAGTACACTAAAACGAACTAGTTCTAGGAACTAGTTCACGAACGAACTATTTTGCACAGGAATAATGTCAGTGAAAGTGTCGCCTGTCAAACTTTCATCCGATTGCAGGAGTTAAGCAGCGCCGGGTGCGGTTAATATTTGGATGGGTAACCTTGTATTTTTTTTTGTATTTCATTTTTTATAACATGGATGTTTCATAGTTTTTTTGACATTGTATTGTTTTTTTTTGTGACATTAACTAGGCTCCTCTACAAGATGTAAACTTAGTACTAGCTGTGGGACACGTTGTGAACTCGTTTTGTAGTTGCTCGTGTCGTCATGAGGCTTCAGTTATGTTTGGCTCTCATGTGATGTAAAATCTGCTTCAGAGATGGCATTACTGGACGTCTAAGCTGTAAGTTGTATACTATAGCTAGAAGGAAACGGCAATGCATATATGGATAGTGAGGATTTTTGTGCTAATAATATGTGTTGATGGTAATTCCATTGGATTCTTGTCTCAAATACACTTACTTCAGATTCAAAGCTAGAAATTAGTTACACACCCACTTTTTATCATCCATTCTGGAAATTATACGTAGATCTGATCAAAAGAAATGTTTTTTCCTTTAACATTTTTCTGGTAAAATTAAAGTAACAAAGTTATAGCCCTTTAGAAGTTTGAGTACCGCCCTGTCTCAATAATAATATTATGTGCTCGTGTTTGGCAACAACGGATATAATCCGCCTTATCGGTTCGTCCCATCGGAAACAAAAAAGCGAAAGAATTTGAAACGCTGATCACGATGTTTTTATTCAGTCGATGTGTCAGTCGGTAACGCGTGAGTGAATAGTGGTGTTTGCTGCGTGGCTCAAACGAAATAAAAAATGGCACATGTTTATGCGGATCGGTTTCCCAATCGAGTGCAACCAACCCCTCGTGCCTTTGTTAATGTAGTACAACGGGCTCGTGAATCAGGTGACTTAAGACCTCACAGGAGAGGGCATGCCGGTGCTCCAAGACCTCACGATCAAATACAGGTCCGCACTGAAATACTTGTTGGGAGGATACTTTATAAAACAAGGTAAAAAAATTTTTTAATTTTTTTTTATTTTTACATACATATTTTGGTTTATCTTCCTCCTACAATCATTATCTGAAAATTAATGACTCAACTTCAAAGTCACCCTGTATTTTTACCTTTACCTTTGTTATTATTATTATTCTAATATAAGAATCGCTGTGAATACGAGACAGACCATTTATCGCGAACAATATATATTCTGCCAATATTGAGCACTTTTTGATAACCAAACAAACTAAACCAACAATGAATCAAGACAATTGACACCACTTTTATTCCCAAGGTTTTGAGTACGGGATGAAAAGTGCATTTCTGACGATCCAGGATTACGTTGTTCTATTTCCGAATGCATGGAACAGGTATGTCAAACAGATTTTGGTAATGACAGATAACAGGAGTGACATCATCGCCTTCGTGGAAATTATATGTATCTATACTACAACTATTTAAAACTGTAATGACTCATACGCGTGATCAACACGTGATCAGAGCTCGATCCCGGCTTCCTTCCAGTACAGCCGCATAGCGTACAACATATGTCGTTTCTGTGGCTTTGCGGTGGTCAACAGCACAGACAGAGATGGAAATAATGGCAGATTGTTCTCCGCCGGTAGAACCAATGAAATCAAAGACGCGCCTCGACCGGCAGACTCATAAGCATCGGCAACGCATTGGAACGTGTTTCGTTGAGCGATCGCATATTGTGTGTTTTTATAAGAATTGTTATGTGATTGTTATTGTTGTGGTTTCTGTGGTTACTGTTTTGGTTATACTTAACCGCGGAGAGTACAAATGACACGAGTGGAAGTACTGAAAGCGGGGGAACAAGTAGACGGCTTCGTAAAGCACTGAAGTGGGACACGAAAGAAATCATGCTCAACGTGTTCAATTATCTGAACAGAACTATGTCGCAGGGAGATGCACTCGCGCGTTGTAAAGTATGACAGGCGTTCCAGAGTGGACCATTCGCAGGGTGGTGCATGAAAAGAAGAAAACTGGAGCGACTACTGATCCAAAGTTTAATTTGAAGGGACGAAAGGCCGTTAAATTGGATGACGATAGCAAAATGGCGTTAAGGCGAACCGCACATTCATTCTTTTTTAGGAATGAGATACTAACCCTCAAGGTTGTACATGCAGCGATCAAGGAAAATGAAATTATACCCCAAATGAGCGTCGAGGTAATGAGGAAATCCCTGCACGAAATTAATTTTCGTTACGAAACGCGTAATCGGAAGTCAGTATTGATAGAGAGACCTGAAATAGTCACCTGGCGTCGAAAATACCTACGCGAAATGATTGAATATAGGCGACAAAGCAGAAAAATCTATTATTTGGACGAGACATGGGTAAATGCAGGTCACACAGTTAAAAAAACCTGGATAGACAAAAACGTAGTGAGTAACCGACAAGCAAGCATTGAAGGTTTGTCAACAGGTCTTCGTGGACCGTCAGGGAAAGGTCAAAGATTGATCGTAACTCATATTGGTAGCGATAGTGGCTTTTTAGAAGAGTGTGACTTGATTTTCGTCTCTAAGAAAGGAGGTGATTACCATGACGAAATGAATGCCAGCTGCTTCGAGAGCTGGTTTCAAGGGGTGCTTCAGCGAGTTGAGCCCAACTCTGTGATCGTCATGGATAATGCTTCCTACCATAGTCGTCGAGCCGAACGTGTACCGACTATGGGATCTCGAAAAAGTGACATGCAGCAATGGTTGCGCGAAAAAGGAATCCCGTTTGACGATTCATGTGTGAAAGCGGAATTGTATGAAAAAATTAAACAGCACAAACCTGCGAACATTAGTTACGTGACTGATGAGATGGCCCGTCAATGTGGTGTCACTGTGCTGCGGTTACCGCCCTACCACTGTGAACTGAACCCAATAGAGCTCATCTGGGCTCAAGTGAAGGGTTATATTGCGCGCCATAACACAACCTTCAAATTACCAGACGTTAAGGTTTTACTTGAGACTTCCATACAGCTAGTAACGCCCGACGCTTGGCAGAATGCTATCCGTCATGTTGTGAAGGAAGAAACAAAAATGTGGCAGCTTGACCACCACATCGACACCATCATAGAGCCAGTTATAGTCAATTTCAACGAGGAAAGCGATAGCGACAGTTTATTACTGTCAGATGTAAGTGGAAGCGACGATGAATAAAGGTAATTCCCAAATTTTTGACTTACAATATGTTTCAAACCACTCTTTATTAAGCATGTGACAAATCTAGTTCACCCATGTTAAACATACATACCCCGCCTATGAACAGCCGACTACTGGTAGTTAAGTGATGTTCACGTGAACATCGATGAGTCATTACAGTTTTAGATAGTTATAGTATAGTAGAAATATAGAATATTTATGAATTCGAGACTTGTGGCGAACAAACGAGATCTGTAAATTAAGTGATTCATTTAGAGCTTGAATTTATCTTTATCAGTGATTTAAAGCTCAACACTCAAAGCAAGAGCACTAAAATCTCTATTGAAAATACTTAAAGCCTATACAATATTTAGTTGATTCATTTTTTGAATGTTTAATCTCAAAACGTCATAAAAAGTACTTACGAGGTCTGTAAATTAAGAGATGAGACCGGCAACGTAGCGTTCGATCTGGCAACGCTGGATGCGCCGGCTTTGGAGGGGAGGCAGGGGAACATGTGATCTGCCTTCAGTACAAGTTTGAACTTGCTCGAGTCATTTGGTTGTCCGTTTTTTTATACTCCAACTACCACGAAGGCATAAGGCCTAAGCACCCATCGGGTACCGTGGGGCTATTTTTTGTGAAACAGTTTTTCCTATTGTGTTCTAAAAATGAGTGACATCAATTTCGAGCAACGGTGCGCTTCAAACCTGGGCACAGTGCAACGAAAACTCTTGATAAGCCTCAGAAGGCATACGGCGATTGTGTTTTGTCAAGAACCTCGGTTTGTCAGTGGTTTATTGCGATTGAAGACGGACTACAAAGCGGAAGGCCTTCATCTTCAAAAAACGATAAAAATATCGACAGAATCCTGGATCTTGTGCGTTCATATCGTCGGTTGACAGTCAGAATGATCGGGGAAGAGTTAAATTTGACTCATACCACCGTTCATCAGATTAAAAACAACTCGTCACACAGCAATGTCAGTAATCGAGTTTTTGGACAGTAAAAACATTCCCGTGGCTTCTTAGCCTCCTTATTCGCCTGAGTTGGGTTCGCGTTTTCGACTGACCCATTTTGTGCCTTTTTGGTAACAATACATGGTAATTATATGTTAAAATGCTTTAAATGCGGTTCAAATGACCCTTATTCCACGTATTTTCGGCTGCCAATATCGAATCCGAGGTCGTTTTACATGTATGTCATCCCCTTTATGATCTAGCGTAGATTACTTACCGAAAAATTGCAAAACTATTCGTTTTTTGCGACTTTAAGGTGCTAAAAATCGATTTTTACTATCGATGGCTACATGAGAGCGGAGCTTTGCACAATAAGGTAATTTGGGGCGCTGAATATGAATATCACTGTGAAAAATTTCTTAAGCGTTATCAGACTGGATTTAGGGTGAAAAGCTGACAAGAAACTATTTTTTCGAGGTAGCCGTGAATTCTAGCAATGTATCGACATCGAATTTGGAATCTAAGCACCTGATTTACGCAGAAAACAAGTTTCCATCTCGATCATAAACGCGCAAGGGTTTTTAGAAAATTTTTATTAGTCGTTTTTTGACAACGTTGAATTCTTGAAAACGGGGCATTTTTGGATGGAATGGGCAATGGATTCAGCGACCCAAACAGCGTATTATATGTTGCGTTCACGTTCCCGACTCACCTATTTTGTG